TCCCTGCTCTGTCCAGGCTGAAAGGCGCCCAGAGTCGAGGTGACTGGTACAAGACGAAGGAGATCCTGCTGAAGGGGCCCGACTGGATCCTGGGTGAGATCAAGACGTCGGGCTTGCGAGGCCGTGGAGGCGCTGGCTTCCCCACTGGCCTCAAATGGAGCTTCATGAACAAGCCCTCAGATGGCAGGTGTGTGGGGGAGGCAGAGGTGGGGTTGCAGGAGAGTCCTGGGGGTGGCAGGGGCTTGTCTGGGCCTTTGGACTGTTTCCTTAGAAACTAAGAGTGATTGAGGTGGGAAACTGTTCCAGGGGTTTAAGTGGATGGGAATTACAGTTTTCTCTAGTCTTACTCAGTGGAGATGTAAGGTGTAGCAGAATCCACACAGGATTTTGACTCAGGTAGACTTAGTTGTTCAAATCCTAGCTCTGCTTTCTAATCGTATAGCCTTGGGCAGTCTGGTCTTTTTGAATGTCAGTTTTCTTTTTGTAAATGGGCATAACAGTATTGTGCATGGATTGAAGAGGTAATCGTTCATGCAGCGTTTGGCCTGCACATTGGCCTGTACACAGGAAGCAAATCATAAATGTCAGTTACTTCAACTCCTTTTTTTTTTTTTTAAATTTTGTTTTGGTGTGCTTTAGATGAAGGTTTACAGAGCAAATTAGTTTCTTGTTAAGCAGTTAATACACATAATGTTTTGTGACATTACTTTACCTCCTTTGGGCCCAGAGATGTGGTGGAGGTTGAGGAAGGCTCTCTGTGACCAAGAGCAGAATTTGGGCTCTCAGAGGAAAGTACAGGGAGAGAGATTGGGACTGAGCAGAAGAAAGACCTTTCCTGTGATTATAGCTGTCCATAGATGGAATAGGCAGTGAGCTCCCTGTCATTGGTGGTGAGCAAGCAGAGACCTCATGAACATGTTAGGAGAAGTAGAGGGATGGGCCATTGGAGCGACATCTTTGAGGCTTCACTGGATGGAGTGAGGATGGCGTGGGGTTGAGGGCCCAGCCCTTGTGAGCCTGTAGCCTGGCTGACCTGCTGACCCCACAGGCCCAAGTACCTGGTGGTGAATGCGGACGAAGGGGAGCCGGGCACCTGCAAGGACCGAGAGATCATGCGCCACGATCCCCACAAGCTAGTGGAAGGCTGCCTGGTGGGGGGCCGGGCCATGGGCGCCCGTGCTGCCTACATCTACATCCGAGGCGAATTCTACAATGAGGCCTCCAATCTGCAGGTGGGCAGGGGGCAGGGCCTCGACGGAGGAGAAGGGTGCTAGGTGTTCACACCCACCCCCACTCAGCCGACACAGTTACTCTTAGAGTTTAGCGCCTGGTCTGTCAGAGGTGGGACTGGGAGAGCAGTGAGCACACCACCGTGCATTGTGAGGGGAACTGGCCCCCAAAGCCACCACCTCTGGGCTTGTCCTGAATGCTCCAGAGCCTCAAGTTGGGAGGTCTTCAAGGACCCTGAAATTATCAGCGGACTCGTGGAGTAGGCTGGGGAACTCACACTTGGGCGTCTTGCCTGCAGAAGGGTCAGGGTTTATTCAGTGATTCTTAGCTTGGTGACACCTGTGGGTACTGGTCCAGGGCCAGAGTCCCACCCCTTTCTGTTAGGCCCTGAGCAGTAGGGGGTGCAGGACTGGCAGCTAGAACAGTATCTGGCACATAGTGGCACAAGGTAAAACAAACAAACCGAAAAACACCCGTAGTGACCCTATAGGACAGAGTAGAACTGCCCCATAGGGTTTCCAAGGAGCAGCGGGTGGACTCGAACTGCTCACCTTTTGGTTAGCAGCCGAGCTCTTAACCACTGTACCGCCAGCACTATGTAAGTGGTGGTATTATTATTATCAAGTATCAAAAAGTAAACCTTAGGGTTTTTTCCCCAACTGTGGACCTAGTGTGTGCTCATAGAGAAAGAAAGAAAACCACAGAAAAAGAAGAAAAAATTCCCCACAGATCCCCTACCTAGAGAAACCACTTGTTTAACTACTTGTTGAAAATGTTGGTTATTTTCTTAAATTCTTTCTCTTTAGAATCATATATTTTGATAATTTGTTAAGTTGTGCTGTTACAGAGGTGACACGCATGTTGTGAAATTGCAGGCTTCCCGAGCGTCTCCTGCTCCTGCCCAGAGGGAGCTTTGGCCCTGGGCTTGGTGATGGGTGCTCAGGGCCTATACCACCCCTGGACCCCTAAATATGCACAGTGTCCCAGGTGCTCGGGGCCTGTCTGTACATAACCCTCCCCCCACATAGTTTCCCAGGTGCTCAGGGCCTGTACTACCCCTGCCCAGCACACACAGTTTCCTGGGCTCTCAGGGCCTGTACTCCCCCACCAACCCCACAGTTTCCTGGGCGCTCAGGGCCAGTGTCCTCACACCCCTCTCCAACAGGTGGCCATCCGAGAGGCCTACGAGGCTGGTCTGATTGGCAAGAACGCCTGTGGCTCCAACTATGATTTTGACGTGTTTGTGGTGCGTGGGGCTGGGGCCTACATCTGCGGGGAGGAGACGGCGCTCATCGAGTCCATTGAGGGCAAGCAGGGCAAGCCCCGGCTGAAGCCGCCCTTCCCTGCTGACGTGGGTGAGGCCCGCCCTGACCCTGGGGCCTCATCTCCACCGTTCCTGTGGAATTTGGGATCTGGCTTCAGGCCCCCACCGGACCATTGTGGCATTTCTGAGTGCCTTCTGGGCTGGGGGTATGATGCCAAGGGCAGGGCATCTGTGATAACATAACTACAGGCTCCCTCAGTGCCCCCTACAGTCCTCATCCTGTCTCAGCCCCCACGGCAGACCCTCAAACCCCCTCCAACCGGGCGAGCTCGTCTCTGGCTCTGCCTCCACAGCGCGTGCTCTGGGAGCTGGGGTATGGTGGTGAACAAGGCAGATACAGTTCCTGCTGGGGCTTGGGGCCCAGCTGGGGACAAAAATGATGAGGGGAAGAAAGGGCAGGGGTTCCTGGCAGGGGCGTGGGCCCTGCCCCACCCCCAGCCCAGCCGGTCTCCCCATTTCCCTGTAGGAGTGTTCGGCTGCCCTACCACTGTTGCCAATGTGGAGACGGTGGCCGTGTCCCCCACTATCTGCCGCCGTGGGGGTGCCTGGTTTGCCAGCTTTGGGCGTGAGCGCAACTCGGGCACCAAACTCTTCAATATCTCCGGCCATGTCAACCACCCTTGCACGGTGGAGGAGGAGATGTCTGTGCCGCTGAAGGAGCTGATTGAGAGGCACGCTGGTGAGGCCTGGGCCTGGCAGGTGGTGGGGAGGGCGTCCCTGAAGAGAGCTGGGTGCGGGGCTAAGGACCAGGGGCTGACAGAAGCCTGGTCCTGGCTTAGGCTGGGCCGTGTGCTGGCCTTAGCAGTGACCATCTGTCCTTTTGGGGGCCGACCGGGGCCCCAGGGGGTGTCACGGGTGGCTGGGACAACCTCCTGGCTGTGATCCCCGGCGGCTCGTCCACCCCCCTGATCCCCAAGTCTGTGTGTGAGACGGTGCTGATGGACTTCGATGCGCTGGTGCAGGCGCAGACGGGCCTGGGCACGGCCGCAGTCATCGTCATGGACCGCTCGGTAAGCCTCGCCCGTGCCTGCCTGGCCCTGCCTCACGTCTCCCTGGCTGCTGTCCCTTCCCTGGGCTTCTCTGAAAACCCTGGGTGTTCCAGTGGCGGCTGTGCTGTTGCAGGATGTCCGGGGAGCATGGAGGAGGCAGAGAATGCTGGACTGCCTGGCGGGATCTGGGATCTGGGGAGGGGGTGCTGCTGGGGGACCGGATTCAGGCTCCTCCCTGGTCTTGGGCGCCTGTTCACTGCCCCTTGTCACCGCAGACGGACATTGTGAAAGCCATCGCCCGCCTCATTGAGTTCTACAAGCACGAGAGCTGTGGCCAGTGCACGCCGTGCCGCGAGGGTGAGCACTGTGCCAGCGGGGCCTTCCCTTTGTCCCCCCCTTGGCCCTGGTCGGGGCTCTGAGCCCTGAACCAACAGCTGCTGCCTCTCAGCCTGCCGGGGGGCTTCTCTTAGCCCCACCCCCGCACGCCCCTCTTGCCTCGGCTGCAGGCGTGGACTGGATGAACAAGGTGATGGCACGCTTTGTGAAGGGCGACGCCCGGCCAGCCGAGATCGACTCCCTGTGGGAGATCAGCAAGCAGATCGAGGGCCACACCATCTGCGCCCTGGGGGACGGGGCCGCCTGGCCTGTGCAGGTACCTGCTGCCGGGCTGGTTGGCACGGGGGCGGGAGAGCCGGGGGGGCTGGATTTCGGGAGCGGCCTCACACGGTGCCCCCTCCCCCAGGGCCTGATCCGACACTTCCGGCCTGAGCTCGAGGAGCGGATGCAGCGGTTTGCCCAGCAGCACCAGGCCCGGCAAGCTGCCTTCTGAGCCTGCCCGCCTGCCGCCCTGTCCTGGCACCCTGTGTCCATCTGTTGGGTCCTGACAGTAAAGCAAGTGCTGGCTCTCTCCTGTTGCAGCGTCTCTGGCTTTGTCCTCCCTGCCGCCCTGTGGGTCTTCTCCTGGGTGGGACTGAAGCCGGGGAAGGATAGGTCAGTCAAGGTCACGAGTGAATCCCTTGCGTCCGTGTGTCTGCCCTAGGCCATGCCGAGCACCACCACTCAGTGCAGGAAACGGGGGCCTCGGGAGGGCTGTGCCTGGGGACTCCCCTCCCCATCACTGTGGCCTGAGGTGCAGACCCGGGTCTGGCCAGCACAGGCCTCAGGGTGGGGCAGGGTGGGACCCAGTGTTCCCTGTGAGGTTGTCCCCTGGCATAGAAAGGACAGGTTCTGTTTGGTCTGGCTTGGAGCAGATGTTTATTTTTGCTTTGTGGGTGGGTGGTGGGGTGAGTTTCAGAGGAGGGGAGAAAGGAAACACTCTTCTGACCAGGGGCTGGGCACGGTGGGTCAGAGGGGTGGGAAGGCGGGTACGGCAGCCCCAGGCTCCTCCTGGTTCCGTGGAGACAGGGATGGTCAGTTATGGGGGTGGGGCAGTGAGCGGGGTCAGGCCTAGGACCGAGCTAGTCACTGAGCTGGAGGGGCGCGCCGTCCAGCGGGTGCCACAGCTCCAGCTGGCGGTCATTGCGGCTCAGGCATTCGCGCCAGTGCCACAGATGTTCCCCACTGGCACGGCTGCTCAGCTGCACCCCGCCAAGTGTGGGGGGCAGGGGTCGGGAGCCAGCCTGGAGCCCACTGGACCTCTCACCCCTGCCCCAACCCCCCACTCACCAATGAAGTCGTTGGCCGTGCCTGGGTTGTAGTCCCAGACCGACAGCAGCAGTGTTTTCTGAGCCAGCTCCTCCCGGGGGCTGCGTAGAAGAATTCCTGCAGGGAAAGGGGCAGAGGCTCAGGGCCTTCCCAGCTTCAGGAACCGGCCAGGCAGGGGAGTGGCTCTGCAGGTCTGTGCCAGGGGTAGCTGGGACCTGCGCTGACAGGTGGGGCACTGACCCATCCCCTACCCCTCAGCAGCCAGGACTGCTTCCCCTCCTGCCTGGGCTGACCTCATTGTACTCGGGGTTCAGGGTCTTCTTCCGAACCCTGGTCTTGTACTTCGATTTCTTCCCCGCCTTTGGATGCAGAAAACTGATCGGGAGGATGGGGTCAGGTCAGGTGGGGCCCTGGAGAGGTGAGCCCGAGAGGCTGTGAGGAACCCCCCTTGCCCTTTCTGCCCACCTGCTCCCCACGCTCATACTCACAGGTGGACGAAAGGGTCTGAGTAGCCTTTGGCGTCCACGGGGGCGAGGTGGGCGCAGCGCAGCACGCCCACCAGCAGGCCGCCCCGCGGGGAGCTGTAGCAGAGTGACAGCAGGATGCGGACCCGTTCCTCCCCAGCCGCCTCCGTCTCCTCCTGCAGGGAGCTTAGGTCAGCCCCTCCAGCCCGGCCACCACCCACCCATCCGGGACCCCGGTGTGAAATACTGACTGCAGAGACATCGGGACAGTGGTTGTGTTTCGTGATTCAGTTTGCAAAGGCAGTCACTGGCCCGCTGCCCGTAGGGAGTTTTGGGGTCAGCTGTGCCTCTGGGGCCAGAGGGGTGTGGGGACTGATGGTCTCTGAGTGCCAGGAACATGCCAGGAGCTTCTAAGCGGCCTCCCCCTGAGCGCGGGGGGTCCTGCAGGGCGAGCCCCGAGTCACAGGAACCAGGTGGAGAGGCTGCTCTCCGCCCAGCATCCCCAGGTCACTTCCACTACGCACCCACCACTTTGCCCCCTCCACCGTGGGGACCTGGCTCGGAGTGTCCTTTGCCACACCCTGGCCCCTGGTGCTCCCCCGACCTGGGGGGACGAACCCCTTCTCTACATCTAAAGTAGAAGTCGGTTTGCAGAGAGCCTGGCTACTTGCTCACAGTTCTTGATAAAGGAGGAGTGTTCCATGAGCACCTGCCATGGGCCAGGGTGCTGCGTGGGGTCTCGGGCCAGAAGTGGGTGTCACGGGGTACTCAACGTGTCCACTGCCCCACCTCAGTGGGGGCGCACCCTGCCTGGGCTTGACTAAGCGGTGGCTGCAGCAACTTGTGGCTCCACTAGGGGGCGGCGGCACCAGGCCCTTTGTTCAGAGGTGGATGTGCAGGGCCCTGGCTTCAGCCTTGCAGGTGCTTCTCCCGGCCTGGCCACAGGGGGTCTTGCCAGGTTTCTAATCTCTGATGGGACTGCAGCAGGCCCTGAACTCACCCCCACTGCCCCCAGACAAGGGCTTGTCTTGAACTGCCAGCCCAGAAATGGCGGCCACACTGACCCCAGGGCAGACCCAGCTGCCGGGGAGCCCCTCCTGTCCTTGACCTTGTCCATTTGTCCAGCCCTCCCCTTTCGGGAGGGACAGACACCACCGGTTTCAGCCCCTGCGCCCAAGGCTGCCTGCGTCTATGCTCAGATGATCCTGAGCTCTGCCCCCTGCGGGCTCAGTTAGTTGCGCCAGTGTCCCTTGCTCCCTTGGGGGGAGTCACTCTCACCTAGCCACATGTTCCAGGCCCAGTTGGTCTCCAGGGCTCTGGGTGTTCATGGGGCCTGTGAGAAAGATGGACTCAAGCTCCCTGAAGCCTGCCTGGGCCTGGCCCTGGCCCTGCCTGGCCCACTTCAGCTCAGCCCCCAGTACTCTGGCTCCCCCAGGCCTGCCCACCCCACCCAGCCTCCCCCAGGCCTACTCAGCCCAGCTGTTCGGCCCACCTCGTCATACAGGGACATGCCGCGGGCTGTGTCCAGGCTCTTGGGCCCCTTGGTCTGAAAGAGCAGAGAGCCTGGTCACCTTGGTGAGACACTGCCCACGCTCCCCTCCCTGCTCATCCTGACTCCGGCTCCCCCCACCATAAAAGTCCCGGCCCTGCTTGCCAGCCAGTGTGCGACCCCTTTCCTAGGCACCCCGGCCCCACTCACCAGCCTTCGCTTCTCCAGACAGACGTCGAAGCTCCGCGCACAGTTGGGCACCAGCTTCCTCAGGGGCACCTGCAGTTCCCCTAGGGGGGGCGCCCGCCGGCACCGCCAACGCTGCAGTCATGGGTCCTCACACACAGCCTGGTGGCCGCCGGGTCAGACCTGGCTAGGCAAGGCCCCTCCCCCGCCCCGCCCTCCACTGGCTCCACTGCCACCGTGGTCCCTGCCCCCCCTCCGTGGCCCACCCAGGTCCTCACCGCAGGGTCTTGTGCTTGGCATCCTGGCGGGTGAAGCCGTGGTAGGTGAGGGTCTCCTCCCAGATAGGCCCCCGCGTACCACGCACTGTGTGTGTGCGCAGCTGGCTAGCCTGGGGGCCAGGGGTGCAGGTCGGGATTTCTTAGGACCCCAGGGACCCACCCTGGCCCGCCCCACCCGGCCTCCCTGATAGGGCCCCACTCGCACATCGCAGCAATGGGGGACTCAGTGCTTGGTGTCCAGGTGGTGCCCTGGACTGGGTGTGTGGCTGAGGGCAGCGATGGGGGTCTGGGTCCTGCCCTCACCTTGCTGGCACCCGGCAGCAGATTGGCCTTAACGTAGGTGTCCACGGAGCCTGAGGCTGGTGGCTTGAGGCCCTGGGAACAGACAGCGGTGTGGGCAGGCTGGTGGGCAGGCCAGTGGCCCAGGGACCCGGAGCCAGCCTCACCTTGGCACAGTGGGCCGTGCAGTGCAGGGAGCTGTTGTCCGCGTCGAAAAGCAGCGTGAACTCGAGGGTGCCCAGGCCAGCTGAGGGCAGGTGGCAGGCAGGTGAGCCCCACCTGGCTCCCAGCGCCCTCTCCACCCACCAGGCCAGATAGGCGCACCCTGGCTGGACTGGCCCAGGGGTGTGCCCTTATCCCCACCCGCACTCGCTGCTGTCGTCCGAGTCGCCCTGGGGCTCCAGGTCGGCTTGTGGCTGGGGTGCAGGGTGCGTGGTGGGGGCGGCGGGCCGCGGGCCAGGGGCACGCAGGGTGGGCTGGGCGAAGCGGTAGAAGTGCGGGAAGTAGTCGGAGATGAGGCGGATGGGCCAGATGGGGCCCGGGCTCACGTCGATGGCCGTGTGTTCCTGCATGCTGACGCTCTGCGGCCGCCGCCGGCCGGCCGCCGCCGAACCCGCCATGGGGGCGCGGACATAGGCAGCTCAGAGGGACCCCTGAGGGCGGGGCACCGGGGGAAGGGACCCGGCCGCCGGGACAGGAAGACAGGGCATCCCCGAGGGTGCCAGGACCTGCAGATAGAGCGCGGGCTCACGGCGGCACAGGACTGGGGACGAAGTGGGGGCGCTCCAGCCTGTGGACAGGGCCTGGGGGCGTCTGGTGGCGGGGCGGTCAGGCCAGCTGGATCACTCACCGCCCTGCGAGCCGCCTCCACTTGGCTCGGTTCGCGGCAGGTACTGAATGTGTGCTTGGGCGGCAGAGTCCGCGATGAGGTGACCCGTGTGAGCAAGAGTGTGATCAACGGGGCCTCCAGGAGCCCACGGTGGGGGGGCGAGGGGGGAGGCGCGCATCGAAGCCCAGAGGATGCGGCGCCTCCCTGCCTTCCCTCTAAGGGTTGCCCCCTAGTGCTGGGGCTCAGCTTCCCTGCCTGGATTCACACGCCCCCCTTCACATATTCTGTCAAAGGGAGTTATTTTTACCACCATCATGTGGCCCTGGAGGCTGGAGGGCCAGAGGTGACAAATGGGGCGTGAGGGACAACGGGAGGGGAGGGTGTGGAGGAGGGAAAGGGAATATAGAAGGAGGAAGGAAGTCTGGAAGGGGTGCAAGGGAAGGAGGGGCGGGGCTGTAGGGAGGAGGGGCGGGGCGTAGGGAAATGAGAGGGGAGGGGAAAAGGAGGGGAGGCGAAGGGGAGGGGAAGGGAGGAGGAGGGCCACCGCAGGCTATCCCCTGAGCAGTAGCCAGATCAAGCTTTTAAAATGGTGAATCAGATCACTTCACCTCCACCCCCCGTTCCCCCCGCCCCCCGGCTTGGAATAAAACCCTCTCTGTGGCTTGTCCCTGTGGCCGGCTCAGTGGCCCTTGCGTGGCTGGAGCCCTGCGCACCTCTGCAGCCTTCCTCCCCCACCATCTCCAGTGCTTTGCTTGGGTTCCTTGAAGATATCAAGCCTTGTACCAACGCTGCTGCTCCTTCGTTGACGATACTCCCTGCCCTCTGACCTGGCCCACTCCTGCTCATCTTCAGTCTCAAGGTCACGCCCTGTAGGCTTCCTTGGCTGGTCTTACCTGCCCAACATCCCTTCCCCATTCTCACCCCCTAATTGGCCTTTGGGGGCCACACCTGGTTTCTACGCAATCCAGGGAGTTTCACCCCCCTTCCCAGGCCTGGGCAGTGCCTCCATCCCTGTCAATCAATGTACGTCCCTGTCCTGTCGATAATGTATCCCAAATCCAGCGGCCCTCCTAATGGACTCACAGGAGGGCTCAATGACCCAAGGCAATTGTGGGTTAGACTGGCCAGCAAACAAGCTGTTTTCTGGTGATGGGAAGCTGGTGCCACGTCATCCTAGAGCTGTGCCCCCTCCTCACCTCTCACCCTTCTGGAGTAGAGATGATCCCCTTAGCGTGAGGCCAGCACAGTGGAGAGCACAAGGGAAGGGGAGACCCTGAGCTTCTGGGTCTAGCCACGCCTGAAGCTGCTTTATCTCTGAATTTTGTAACCACCATTCCTTTCACGGCACCCTGGTGGTGCAGTGGTTGAGCTTGGCTGCTAACCCAAAAGTTGGCCGTTCAGATCCACCTTGGAAACTCTATGGGGCAGTTCTATTCTGTCCTATAGGGTCGCTATGAGTCGGAATTGACTCGATGGCAATGGGTTTTTTTTTTTTTTTGCATTCCTTTTGCAGTCAGTTAGTGGGTGTTTTCTATCACTAGTCATGGCTGATATTGCCCAGACCACCATGTTCAAGTTGGACCACCTACCCCCTCAACTCACAGAACCCTGGTCTACATAACTGATGTGTAATCACACTATTATCTGTGTATAATGGACAATGTGTAATCATACCAATGCGTGGTCCAAGGTCTCACCAGGCTGTGAGCATCTCCCCCCACCCCAAACAGGGCAGCATCTGGCTGGTTCTCAGATGTGTCTCCAGCTCAGCACCTGGGACAAGGTAGGGGCTCGATGTATTGGAGCTCTACAATACAACACAGGGTGGTGGGTTCACCTCACTCATCTGGAGCCCCCGGTACAGGGGCAGCGAGGCCCAGAGGCCGACAGTGCAGCAGCTGGGAATTTGGGCTCTGGAGCCAGAGACGCAGTTCAAATCCCAGCTTGGGGCGGCCTCGGGCAAGATATCCGTCCTCCCTGAGTCAGGTGGGGGCAATGTGGGCCCCGTGTCACAGGGCTGCTGGGAGGGTGAAATGAGAGAAGTGACACCTGTACCTGGCACACAGCACTCAGTAAATGGCCCCTGCCGTGGGTAACAGTGCGACTGAGTGGAGGCCCCAGGCAGGAGGCCAGCTGTCCAGCGTGTTCTGCCCAGGATCACGGCCCCGCTACAGAAGAAGCAGGAACCACAGAGTTGGTGACGGCTCTTTATTCAGTCCTGGAGTGCAACCGACCTGGCTGGGCAGACGCGGGGACTGCTGGAGCCAGGTCCTCAGCTCCTGGGCAACCGAAAGCCGGCCAGGCAAGGCTGGTAGGTGCCCGGTGCCAGCAGCTGTAGGGTGAATTCAGTGATGATAGCCGTGAGCCCCCAGATGCGGTGTGGCCCGTGCAGGAAGACAGGCAGTGTGTACTGGGAGTGATCACGCTGGCAGAAGTGGGTATAGCCCTGATTCTGCGCCTGCAGCAGGTGGGCCAGGGGCAGTGCAAACACCTCGTCCACCTGTGGGCAGGAGGCAGAGGGAGGGTGGACAGCGAGTGGGCTGCTGCCACCCACTGGGACAGCCCGACTCCCAGTGTCCCCATGCTCACCTCCTCCCGGTTGGGCCTGAGGCTCTGGGGATCCAGGGGGCCCACGCTGGCAAGCACGGGCACCACAGTAAACTTTCGCTGGGGCAGGAGGGCAGGCTGTCAGGGGAGGCAGGGGCCTTGGGACTGGGGGAGGGGAGCCTGGAAGAAGACCCCTCTTGCCTTCCAGAGGCCATGTCCACCCAGCCTTGCCCCTGCGCTCACTCCACCCACACCAGCTGACTCAGGCCCCCGGTGCACTGGACCAGTCCAGGCTTCTGAGCCTTTCTAGACTGTTCCCTCCCCTTAGAAAAATCTGCCCTTACCTTTCTCTACCCTAAGATCTCCCACAAACCCCAGCTCTGTCCCTGCCTGCCCTCTGAGGCCTTCCCCGACCCTCACCCACCAAGCTGAGTGGCTCACCCCTTCACCCTGGGACCCTCCACTGACCTGAACCTCAGTACCCATATCTGTCAAAACACCAAACCCATTGCCATCAAGTTGAATTCTGACTCATAGAGACCCTATAGGACGGAGTAGAACTACCCCATAGGGTTTCCAAGGCTGTAATCTTTTTCCCACCGAGCAGGTGGTAGGTTTGAACTGTCAACCTTTTGGTTAGCAGCCGAGCGCTTTAACCACTGTGCCACAAAGAGAGACAGAAATACCTGCACCCAAGGGCTGTTGTAGGTATGAAACAAGTGAATGCCAGGCAGGTGCTAGGCCACCCTCTACCTGTGCTGGTGTCCATGACCTCTCCCTGTCCCTGGGGTCCCGCCTCCTAGCCCAGGGCAGGCACAGGCCTCATGGAACGGATGGCCAAGCCAGGGCATGGGGTCAGGGGGGCAGTGGCCTCCGCCTGGCGGGCTTACCTGGTCGGACACAGGCTGCAGGATCCCCCACACGTGCTGCTCGGGCACGAGCAGGCCCACCTCCTCCAGCGTCTCCCGCAGGGCCGTGTGCACCACGTCCCGGTCAGTGGGGTCACACTTGCCACCTGGGAAACTGGGCAGGCACAGGAAGCTGGTCCTTGGGTCATTAGGGCCACGGAAGAGGGGCAGTAGGGGTGAGGGGCTCTGGGGTCTGCAGTGGTGGTGGTGGCAGTGGGAAAGGGCCAGTGACCCACCTAAGCATCGTCTGCCTCTGTCCCTAGTTTGCAGGGAGTCTGTGGGCAGGTCACACGACCTCTGGAGGTTCAGTTTACCTCCCTGAGCAACTGGGGTGATAGAGAGGCCCTCTCAGTCCTGGGCAGTGCAGGGTGGGATATGGGGACCTAGCAGCTGGGGGGAGCACAGGTGGCGCAGTGGTTAAGAGCTTGGCTGCTAACCAAAAGGTCAGCAGTTCGAGTCCACCAGCCGCTCCTTGGAAACCCTATGTGGCAGTTCTACTCTGTCCTATAGGGGCAAGAAAGGCCTACAACTCAGACTCCCAAATGCCACCTACGGTGGCCCCAGTGGTGCTGACGTTGACTCTAGGATGCTCTCAATTCCCGCTGGGGGCAGGGCAGGGAGCGAGGTCCTGCCTTGTAGAGAGAGAAACAGCTCAGAGGCGTCCCCAGTCCGAGGTGACAGGGACGCGCGGCGACGGCACCAGGCTCGGGGGTGGGGACGGGGGGGACACGGATCGCTGACTCCTCGCCGCATCCTGGAGGCGGACGGGTGCTCACAGACCCATTTTACAGAGGCAAAAACCAAGGCGAGGGAAGCTGAAGTGCCTGCTGCCCCCGGGGCTCCGCTGCCATCTCTGGAGCAGGAAGGGAGTCCCGGTCGTGTACCTGACGTCGCCCTTGTGCTTCCCGGCCAGGTGGCTGGACCGCAGCGTGTAGAGCAGCGCCGGGGCCCCATGAACCAAGCACAGCGGCACGAGCACTGCGGCCGCCGCCGGCCGCGCGCGGTATCGGGCCGTGGCCCCTGCCAGCAGCCGGCGGCAGCGCCGCTCCCCCTCCGCCGACAGGAAGTCGGGCAGCATGTCCCAACTCGGCGCCGCCAGGACACAGGGGGCGCAGCTGCGGAACGACTTCTGCCCGAAGGCCTCGCCCGGCCCACCACGTGGGGCTCCAAAGTGCGCCGGCAGTGGGCAGGGCCTCACGGGCGGGGCCTGTCCGGGGCGGGGTCTGCTCTGGAGCCGGGGCTGGACCCGGACTCACAGTGAAATGGCGGCGGGGCGGGGCGGGGCGGGGCCTGGAAGGAAATCTAGGGCGGGGGCGTGGTTGTGGGAGGGGCCTAGAATGGAGCCTCCAGTCAAAGTGACGGGGGCGAGGCCGGGAGGCTGGGCGGGGCCGGAAAGGGCCCGGTCCTGGGGCGGGGTGGGCCTGAGGGGAAGGCGGGAGGAGCGGAGCTGGGAGGATCTGGTGAGGGTCCCGGAGCTCCTGGAACTGCTCCGGTCACGCTAGCCAGGCGACTGGACCCGGTGCTTCCGACAGCAGGGTGCTGGAGTCAGGTGTCTGGCTGTTGAGGCCCTCCCCCGCGCCCCTCTCCCACGTGTGCCCGTCTTCTCCCAGAGGTGTTCAGAGTCGGCGCTTAGAGGGACACCGAAGACGAGGACGTGTCTGGGGCCGCGGGAGTGGTGCCGGCCCGGCTCTCCCTCTCGTCACTCCCTCCCGATTCCGCTGGGTGGCGCGCGCAGCCTCGTCGTCCAGCCTGGCCTTTGCCCTGCCTTTCCCACCACCTGGGGCTCTTTTCCCCCTCTTGCCCATCGCCATTCCTACTCCTTCCTTAGGTGTCGGCTTAAATGGCACTTTCTCTAGGAAACTCTCCTGCCTCGAGTCATCATCAGATTCCCAAATCACACCGTGAGGTTACTGCCCACCAGACCTCGGTTCCTCGAGACCTCGTCAGCGCACAGCAGCTACACGTGGAGTGACAGGTGGCGGCCCTGGTTTGCTGGGAGCAGGTCCCTCTCAGAGTGGAGGTTTTGGTCCACATTTGGGCGCAGGAGGCGGGAGCAGGGGACCCAAGTTCCCTCAGTGCAGTCCCTGCCACGGGTCAGTGTCACCCTCACCACCTTCGCCATCACCACATCTCCCCCCCCCCATGCAGACGACAGTGGGCAGGGCTGATGCAGGACTGTCCTGGGTCTGGGTGTCCCCGAGGCCCTCCCACCCCAACCCCTGAAGACAGAAGTGCTATGACCGCCCATGCTAAGTCGTTTAATGTTGGGGGGCAGGGAGGGAGGTAAAGCAAGATTTGGGGAGTCGCCCCCAAGGCGGGAGGGGGTGGGATTCCCAGTCCCCACGGTTGGGAGGCAGGAGACCTGGTTCCAAGCCTGGCATGACCCCAGCCTTGTGTGACTCCAGGTGGGTAACCTCCCTCTCTGGGCCTCCACCTCCTCTGCCCTCCTTGGTAGAGGATGAGTCTGATGGGGAGAGGTGAGTGGGGGTCTCTGCAGAGGTGCAGCTGGAGGGGGTGGGGCAAAGGCTGATTCCCCCGGGCCGCTGCTGTGGCTCTAGGGCAGGATACTCTCCGTGGGGCGTCTCTATCACTGTGGGTCCTTGCCAGGTCCTAGGCACACAGCGGTGGGGGACAGGAGCCCCAGCCCTCCTGCGAGGGGCAGGCCCCCTTGATCCCTGTCAGCCCGGATGTTGGGGAGGGGGTACGGTGCTGATCGGGCCCTTGGGACCCCAAGGGGCCTTGGGGCCCCAGGGTACAGGCTTTGGTAGTTGAGGGGCCGGTAGGTGCCTGGGGCCAGAAGGGTCTCGGGAGGGGCCAGCAGCTGATGGTGGAGCCGGGCAGGGGTCCTTGAGGTGGAGGCTGGAGCTATGTTGGGGTCTGAGGGAGGAGATGGTCTGAGTGGACCCCAGACTTCCCCTCACATCTGCAGCCCTCATCCTGGGCCTGCCCTTTCCCTGTTCCTGCTCCTTCCATCCCAGGTAGCCCCCTTCCAGCCTTTGGCCTTGCTTTCCCTCTGCCTGGAATTTCTTCTCCACCTTCTTCCTCTGTCTAAACCCTTCCCAGTCCCCCAAGGCCCAGCTCCGGAACCACCTCCTCCAGGAAGCCCACCTGACACCCCTGCTACTGTTCCCAGCGTCTCGTCCCTGCCCTGTTCTTTCTGCTCGGGGCCCCATATTGTCTTAGAAATCTCTGCCCCCATCCCATGTCCACACAGGTGCCCAGTGGGTCTGGTGGCCTGGGGGCTGGCTGGCTGGGATTGGGCTGGGGGCTTACCTTTCTCCTGCTCTGTGGGGCCCTTCGGCGGGTAGGGACTGAGGCTGCTTTGACTCCGGGCCGGGACGCTGAGCAGGGGTCGTGGGGACACAGGCCTGAGGTGGGACAAGCAGGATTGGGGAAGTCAAGGTGAAGAACCCCAGGGCAGTGATGATGGTCAGAGTCAGGTGGTGGGACCCAGGAGTAGTCAGAGGGCATGAACCAGGGTCAAGAGCCGAGGGTGGGCCCTGAGGGCAGCGGGCCAGAGTCTTAGGACATGCTGGGAGGCGATGGGGTGAGGCGGGGCAGAGGCTAGACAGAGCTGGCCAGGGCCGGAAGGTACCAGGAGTCTGGGTCACTCTCTCTAAAGCCCTTGGCAAAAGGATTGCTGGCGATTTTCAGCTGGGTGATCTGCAGAGGAGACAGTGTGGTTATGGGACAGCCCCAAGCAGGGAAAGGCTGTGGGGCTCCCTGGACCCCCAGTCAGGAGGCCCTAAGACCCAGGCCCCTCAGCCCAGGGACCCCGGAGCCAGTGGGTGTGAAGGCAGGGGAATGAGTGGGCACATGCCCACTGAGCCCCAGTGAAGGAGGACAGGCAGGGAGGGTCTGCCCATTTGTAGGCTAAGAGCCTGGGGCCTCAGTCTCCACCCTTGGGAAATGGGCTGGCAGCTGGTGTGTCCTGAGCTGCAGCCTGACCCACCCGGTGGTTCTGGTACGCCGTCACGGCCGTGAACTGGGTCTCCGTGAAGACGAAGGACTTGAAGTTCTCCTGGGCGTAGCGCTCGCTGTCCTTGCGTGGGTCCACAAAGACCACGTGGAAGCGGGGCTGGTATCGGTGCATGGAGTTGAGGATGATCTGGGGAGAGGGGCAGCGGACCCTTTCTGAGGCTGAAGCCCTTCTCCCCGGGGCAGAGGGACTGCCCTGGGCCCCTCCGGGCCTCTGAGGCTGCTCCAGCTGGGGCTGGAGGAGGACGGGGCCCGGCTTAGGTTTCTCGGTTTCGGGTCCTTCTTTTAATGGTGGTGCAGGTCTGAACTTGAGAGTCAAGGGCAGCTCTACGTTTAACGTCCTTGGCACTTCTTCACCTTTCTTCCACCCCACATCCTAACTGTCAGCTTTACCTTCAGAACCTTCTGGAATCTGACTACCTTTCCCACTCATGGCCTCCACGTGGCCCAGCCGCCATCATCTTTCCCTGCATTCCTTCAGCTGCCTCCTGGCTGGCCTGCCTGCCTCCACCTTGCCCCACGTCCATTCTGCACACAGCAGCCCTGGCAGGCCTCATCCCGTCACCCCTGCTCAAAGCCCTCCCATAACTCCCCTCCCACAGAGAGAAAAAGCTGGAGCCCTCCCCATGGCCGACAGGTTCTGCAGGACCTGGCCCCACCGTCTCTAGGATCTCTCCTCCCTCTCTCCCTCCTCAGTCCACTCCAGCCATGTGAGGGGAGGGAAGGGCTCTTTGTGGTTCCTCGAATTCCCCCAACCTTCTCTACCTCGGGGCCTTTGCACTGCCTGGAACAGCTTCTCAGATATACATAGGTTCCCTCCCCTACCTTCAGATATCTGTTCAAATACGGCCTCATCCTGACCCCCCGCCAATGGAACAGCCACCCTCCCCCGCCACCCCCTGCCCTGGTTCTTTTTTCTCCTTGGCGTTCATCACTGTCTTGATTCCTTGTTTGCCATTTGCCCCCAACTCTTACCCCAGGACATGAGCCCCGTGAGGGCAGGGGGCTTTGTCTCTGACCATGTGTGGACAGTGCTGTGTCCGACACCCACGGTGGGCCTGGCCGGTGGGAGGCGTTCCGTGAGATTGTGGGCGGGATGGACTTCTCCATGTGCGCGCGTCTCTAAAGTCTCTGGGCAGTGTGGCCCGGGGTCTCGTTGAGGTACATGAAGGCCGAGATGGTGGTGTTGGGCCTCACGTGATCACGTGGTGTGAGACAACATTCTCCTGCCCCCCCCCTCACACCCCACTTCCCCACCTGCCTGGACAGTCCCCTCTGCTGTCTGACTTGTAGCCATGCAGGCTCAGCCTCCCTGCCTTGGCCTTCAGCAGTGGGCAGGGCTGCTGGGCACCAAGGCCATGGGGGCACCAAAGGCCCCACCAGCCCAGGCTCCAGGCCTCATCACAACAGGTCCCAGCCCCCCACTTCCTGGCCCCAGCCCCCAACTCCCTGGCCCAGCCCCTCCCCCCATGGCCCAGGCCTCACGTGGCCATTGTCGTCCAGCAGGTTGTTGGTCAACTTGAGCTTGTCAAAGGACACAATCTGGCGCATCCACTGTGCGCCCTTGGCCGGCGAGTCGGGGTGGAAGTGCACGCGGCCCGGTGTGGCCGGGTCTGCCTTGCCAGCCACGAGCCAGGCTGAGCTGTGGAAGGCATACCTGGGGAGCAGAGCCAGGTGGCCAGGGCGCCCGTCTCTTCCCCCACCCCTGGCCCCTCAGCCACTGCCCCCACCTGGGGCCATGCCTGACCAAGGCTGGTGGGGCACAAGGGCCATCGCTGGCTCCCTCGCTGCCCCCCACCCGGTGCTGGGCCTTCCTGTGCACCAGCCCGAGTGGGAGGTGCAGTGCTGGCCCCGTCTGCAGATGAGGAACCTGTGGCCCAGAGATTAAGCTCGGCCCTGAGTTCCCTGTGGCTGCACCTGGCTGAGGGCCAGATGACCCTGCTGCCCTGGGCTAGACTACTCTTCCTGCCCTAGGCTAGCCCACTGTCCCTGGTGGGCCTCTGCCCATGTCAGGCTTCCTAAGCTAGGCCCCCTCCTACCATGGGGCTAGGCTGGACACCCCTGACATTGCCCGGACTGGCCCCTGCTCGAGACTTCAACACCCAAGACCTTCGAACCCCGTCCCCCTCGGCCAGCCCAGACCTGTATCTCTTGTCATCCAGGGGGACAAAGTCCATGAGCAGGGCGTAGTCCGCCAGCGTGTCCATGCCCAGGATCTTCACTTGGAAGGTGGGGAACATCCTCCTGTGGGAGGCAGGTGCTCAGCAGCCCAAGTGCGGCTCCAGTCCCACCCCCACCCTGCCCCCGCTGTGCACACCTGCCCGCCTTGGTGACAATCATCTCTGTGCCCAGCTGGTGGAACTCCTCCCACAGGGCCTTCATCTCTAGCTGCACCGTCACGTTGGACACGCGAGGGTTCTTGGGGCCCTGGCCCGTGGGCTCGGCTGTGGCTGGGGCCCCGGGGGAGCCGGTGCAAGGGCCTGGCGGGAAGGGCGGGCCCAGCCGGGGGTCCCAGCTAGAGCTGGCCACAGACAGGGTGCAGGTTTCTGAGGGGGTGAGTACACCGAGGCCGGCAGAGAGGAAGGCTGGGGAGAGAGGACGGAAACATGGGTGCTGCCTGCCTCACCCCCCACCCCCACTCATCACCCAGCCCGCCCTCATTCTCAGTCTGCACCTAGATGCCTCTTCCTCCAGGAAGCCCTCCCTGACTGCAGGCCTCTGTGTCCCCCACAGTATTCCCATCAGCATCACTCTGGGAGATCAATAAATGTTCATTTCAAGGTCTGTGTTCCCAGTAAGCTCCTGGAGGGTGGGGACCACGCCAGTCTTGCTCCCCAGGGCATCTTTGAGCCACTGTGTATCCCTGTGACTTGCAGCCAATTGTTGCATCTCTGGAGCCTCAGTTTCCACTTCTGACAGTGTGCCCAGTAGGCCCTCAATAAATGCCCTGCTGTAATCGACGCAAGAGATCTGCTGGCGCCCTTGAGACTGTGGGGTGGGGTGAGCGGGGGCTTTCCACTGCTGGGAGCTGAGCGCGGAAGAGGTTGCATAGGCCCTAGGCCCGGCTCACTATTATTTACTCCCCATTGCTAACCGCCACATTGTCTCGTGACTTTTCCCTCCCATTCTAGTCTCTACAAAGAGGTTTAAGATTAACCGGATGTTCCTCCCTGGAGGGTGGAAAACAAGTGATAATGATCTCAGAATGAAAAAGCAAACAAAGCACCATCTTGTGACAAGAAAAAGTAGGATGTCAGATAATCCCCAGGGATGTCACCAGATAACCCCTAAGAATACCAACAGAAGGTTAGCTCATCTAAGACATCATCACCTCAAGAAGAAACTGTCACA